GGGCACTCACTGGCAGCAGCAGCGGAGGATTCGGGTTCAGCGCAGCCTGGTCCGGCTCGGTTCGCTGCGGCAATCACCATGGCAACGATGACCACGCGCGACCGGAGAGCATCTGACCAATCCTGGACGTCGGGGGCTGGGTCTGGGCGGGGCCCGGAGCGGAAGCAATCCCACTGCGGCGTGCCCGAGCCGTCACCATAGCAACCAGAGCCTCGAGGGAGTCGTGGGCACTTGACTAGGCTGTTGCCCGCCCCCCATCCCCGCTCCCGCCAGGGAGCGCTTGCGATCACCATGGAAACGAGGGCGGGGTTGGATATGGGGCTGTGGGCGGGGTCATTGCGGTCTGGGTGGAGCCTGGATCCAAAGATGGGGGTTTGGGCGGGGCTGATGGTGGAGAGACCTCTCTGACAATCAATGTAGCCGGGAGGGGTGGCAGCTCAAACTGGTAGGGGTTATGATGTGACGTGTGTAAGTGTTTATTTTTGTAATATATTGAATATGATTTTTCATAGATCGACGCTCAACCACTGAGCCACGCCAGCCGAGACGAAGGGCACTTTTTTTTTTTTTAAAAGACTGTATACCCAGATTCTGAGAGGCCCAGGGTTCCCAGCTTTGAGAATCTATTTTATCCAGCTTCCCATTTCACAGACAAGGAAACTAAGGCTCACACAATTTAAAAGTGTTGCCACGTGCGTTAGAACTAGAATCAGAACCCAGGTTTCCTGACGCCCAGCCTTGCGCTGTCTGCCCCACACTCCTCAAAAAGCTCAGGGTCAGAGAGACCCTCCCTGACTTTGTCTTTTGAAGGAGGGCAGTAGGGGGCAGATTTCCACATCACAATATGGCATCCTTGGCCCGCAGGTCTAAGTCAATTACCTGCATTTCAAAGCTAAGTGTGTTGGAGGCTGATGCTTGGTGCCTTTGTTAGTGAGTTTCACGGCGACAGGCCCAGGCCTAAGGGTGAACTCATGTGAGTTGGTCTACCCGCTCCTGTGCCTCAGTTTACTCAGCTATCAAATGGACTCGACTATCTGTGAAAGTGCTCTGTAGATTAGTATAAAGCTTGACTCAAGTCCATGACCCATTTATTCATTCTACACGTACTGACAGCCTCCTGGTAATTAATTAAGCTACGGGATCATTTACTGGTACTAACATGGAGTTGGGGAGACGACAGGCTTCATGGAGGTGGTGTCTGTCCACCGAGCTGTGCCCCGAAGGACACAGAGGTGGTTCCTGTTCCTGGCAGCCCAGGCTGCATGGAGGAGGTGGCCATTTGGAGGACTCATATCCGGCCTGGCACCCAGGGTTTTGAGCGGCAGGCTGGATGTTTGGACTCTGTCCTGAGGCCACTGGGGAGCCATGGAGGGTTGTATGCAGGTGACGGCTGGGACTGGCTTGCTTTCAAGCACAATTGCTCCAGTCAGCAGGGCATTGGGTCCACTGCGAGGGCCGATCTGTGTCATTACCAGGCCATCAGCCTGCAGAGCAAGGAGCATGGGCGAGGGCTCGGCAGTCCTGGGCTCTGGCCTGCGTGGTTTTGGCAAGCTACTAAGAAAACCTCTGAGGGGCCTCCCTATAACCTGGATCATGTTAGCAGCTCATGGGGTTACTTTGAGAACTAAAGGCATGCGAAGTGTCCCGCACAGAAAAAGGCGTTCACACTCATTTCCCTTCCCCTCGGTGCTATGAACAAAGCAGAGCCGTCTTTGTTCCCCGCGGTAACCCCGTAAGGTATCATTGTCCCCTCTTTACAGCCGGCCCCAGACCGAGGCTGCTCGCGCCGCCTGCGCCTGCGCGGTGGGCGCCTAGTGTGCAGAGCGCAGCGCTGAGGACGCCGCTGGGGTCGCCTGGCAACCGGGTCGCCTAGCAACGGGCGACCGCGCACGCTGAAGCAGGTGAGCCTGCGACACCAGACAGGGGCCCAAGACAGGGGGGACAGGGGACCCTCAGACCCATCCAGTCTGGCTCACACGGGTCCCGCGTCTGCTCTCATCCGCGGCGGGACTCCCGCAGCCCAAGCCACATACAGGAGGCCAGGCCCCCTTGTCCCCATCCCCGGAGCCCAGCATTCCCTGCAGGGGGAGCCCCAATCGGAAATGGCCGCCCCCCCTTCCCCGCCCAGCTCGGCCCGTCTGTCTCTCCTTGTCACTTGGTGCCTAAGATCAGAGTTGGCCTTAGTTCTTTAACTGGGGTAGAATCCTACAGGGCGGGGGCCTGTCAGGGCCACTCAACACCGGCATCAGCAACCACTCCCACAATAAGGACCGCAGCCAACAGCCAACGCCTCGGAAGCCCTGGCGTGCCAGGCTCAGGAGGGTCGTTCACGCAGGAGCAAGGGAAGGAGGTGCTGTTATCAAGTCCTTTTTGCAAAGGCTCCCAGAGAGGAAGAGATTGTCAAGGGCCGCCCATGGCCTGGGTCTGGAGCCGGTTCTGAGTACGAAGCCACATTACCTATAGATGCTCCGTGTGTGTGTGTGTGTGTGTGTGTGTGCGCAATAAAAATAATTCATGCCCTAGCTGGTTTGGTTCAGTGGATAGGACGTTGGCCTGCAGACCGAAGGATCCTGGGTTCGATTCCCTTCAAGGGCATGTACCTTGGTTGCAGGCTCCTCGCTGGCCCGAGGCCCTGGTCTGGCATGCCCAGGAGGCAGCCAATCGATGTGTTTCTCTCACATTGATGTTTCTCTCTGTCTTTCCCTCTCCCTTCCTCTCTCTCTAAAAATCAATAAAAACATTAAAAATATCCACTCAGCTGTGCTTACCGTTTTGAGGATCGAATGAGAAGTAGCTTCTAAATCACAGTCGTCCTCATGACAACGTTTGGGGTTCTTCTCACCAGTGTTTTCTGCGGAGCTCCGTTCTGAAAGCGAGAGAGTCACCTCCTGCCGGTGCGGAAAGATGGCCCATACCTGGATCTCCACGTACCTGCCCCCCAACATCAACCCCGCCCAGGCTTCCATCGCGTACGGCTGCCGGGCCCTGCCCAAGCTGAACGAGGAACTGCAGTCCGAGGACCTGCAGACCAGGCAGAAAGCCCTCATGGCTCTGTGCGACCTCATGCATGACCCTGAGCATGTCTATGTGGCCATCGACATAGGTGAGAGTGTCACGGAGCCCAGGCGACCATCGGGTCTGGATGGACAGACACAGAGTAGCTGGCGGTGGGAGGAGTTGAGGTGACCCTCCCAGCTGGTCAGCCCGTCCTTGGAGGGACACCCCCAGCAGCCGACCCAGAGCCACAAAGCAGCCCTCTCTGCTACGGCTGGACCGACCAGGTGGCCACAAATCCACCAAACAGCCCTGAGATCTGTCTTAGCCACGAAAGATAGGCAACACCCTATTGGAGCCACATGGTACCTGGGACCTCTTGTTTCCCTCTCTCCTAACGACCAAAATGAACGCTGAGGTGATCAGGCACATGATGAGTGAACTGCCACTTCTCCCCCAGCCTTAGCTGAAGGGCTGATTTAAAAAA